CCTCACCCCCAAAACTCCCAGCTTCCTCCCCCACCCATCTCCTGCTCCACTGTCTCCATAGTTTTGCAACCTTATTTTTTAAATCATTTTAAAAAGGAAGGTTTTGGCACCTAGTTTTATAGATTTAAAACACTATAACATTTAACTCTAATTTTGTTGTCTTAATCAAAGGGACTGAAGTTAATTAAAATTTAAATCTAGTCTTTCAAACACACAGAACTAAATAAATGTGCAAGAAACTCAGAAATCGGGGCTGGGGATTTGGCTCAGCGGCGTAAACGCCTGCCTTGCAAGCAGGCAGTCGTGAGTTCGATCCCTGGTACCGATAAAAAGGAAAAAGACCAAAAAAAAAAAAAAAGAAAAAAAAGAAAAGAAAAGAAACTCAGAAATCTCAAATGCCGAATTTGAATGTTTGTAGTATAAGGGAATAATTATATGATTAGTAAAGGCAGTTATAGAATAGCAAACTGATAGACATATTATAGCAAGTTAAAATCAAATAGTAGCCTCTGCCTAGGCGCCTGCTGGCTGTCACATAACCTGCTGAATTCAGCCAGCCTTGACTGTCTGGGTCCAGCTGCTTTTCTTCTGATAACACACTGGGCCAATCTGACTATTTCTGGCTTATGTTTCCCTTGATGAAGAAAATATATTCTTCTAACTGGCTTCAAGGACTTTGGTTGGGTGAAGTATTCCAGTCAAGGATACTTTTTAAGTCTGCTTGAACCGCCTTCCTGTGTCCTCAAGATATTTCTAATATGATAATTTCCTTTAAGCAATTGTATTTACAGTTAGTTTGCCTGACAGCTTATGACTTCATTCAATCCATGTAACCTATCACATAACGCCTTGTACTTCCTGCTTGTAAACTGTATTCAGACTGGACTCAACACTGGCTCATTGCTGGTGATTTGGACACTATTAATTGTCCCTTCGCCCACCAGCATTATAATCAATAAACATTGCTTTCTAGATTCTTCGGTGCAAGAGTCTTCCATCTGGTTTGATACTGGTTTTTCTGAAACAGTAGCATTCATACTTTGGATGTTTTTAGAACAGAAATGGCAGTCGGGCTTTTTAAAATTTTTATTTTAAAGAGAATAAAGCCTAACAAAATAAAACAGAATAAAGCCAATCAAGATAAAACAGTGAAAATGGTACAAAACTTCAAAACAGGATAACAGGAAATCTGCAATGATTACCATAGTGTCTCCTGTCATCCCCACAATAGTTTTTCATACCATAGTAAAATCAAATAAAACAAAACAGAATAAAACTAATAAAAAAGAACATTAAATAAAACAAACAATAAATCAGAACAGAACTAAACAGTGTGAACAGTATTAGATTTCAAACACAAGACAGAAGGAAATCCCCTGTAGTCGCTATATTGCACACTGTTACCTCCTAATAGATGCTCAGACCACTGGCCTTAGGCCTGCAAGGTCAGTCAAACCATACAAGCATTTAGTTGTTTTTGTAACTCGGTTGCTATTAACACAGCTCAACCTCCAACCAGTTGGTTGCTTGGGGTGGGTGCGTGGCTTCCTTGATTACCAGCCCACACACTGGTTAGCTTACAGGAGGGGTGAACTGGCTTCCCTCTTCCTGGGCCCTGCATGGTTTGAGTAGCTTACAGGCAGGGCAAATGGGCTTCTTCTTGTACTCCTCCCAGGCCCAGCATGGCTTCCATTGACTCACAGGAGGGGTGAACTGGCTTCTCTCTTCCTGGGCCCCACGTGGCTTGTGGGGCTTCAGCGCTTACACTTTTAGAGTGGAGTGTACTGCATTCAGAGAGAGAAAAGAGCTAATTTCACAAGTCAGGGATGGCTCTGGGAAAGAGACGCTGTGGGGATGATCTGACCATTGTGGGCGAGGCTGGACAGGCAGAGAGCTTGGGACAAACATTCCTGGCGATGGGGCGAGAGGTGAATTGACTGGGGGCTCAGACAGGCCAGCTGTTCTGTGGATACAGCTCATCCTTCAGGGTGGCACTAAGTGAGAATGGAGGCTGAAGAGGTGAAAATGAGTCACTGAAGACAAAAAGTGTGTTACTGGGAGCTACTGAAGGTAATGAGGGACAGAGTGACAATCCAGGTTGTGAGAGGAAAGGATGGGAAACAAATGGCCTGGGAGACAGGCATCATCGCAACCACCAGCATGGGTTTCCTTTACTTGCAGCAGAGGAACATGTAGCTGGGCTGAGAAAACTGTACTTCCTACACCCTTTTTGGTATGATCATGGAGCAATTCTGAGTGATAAAAAGTGAGCATCTGGGTGCCATGTAATGCCATGCTAACTGCCTATGTGAAGCCCCATGAGTAAGCTCAGGTGAAAAAGAAGAACCATGAAAAATACTAAGTCATGTTGATTTAAACACTGCATGTGGGGACGATGTGTTACCCGGCACTTGGTGACTGACATGGGAAAGATGGGGAGCACTATGGAAGCTCAGATTTACAGCTTGAGTTCTTAGCAAGGTGGGCATCTTTCACAGAGAATAAAAAGTCCACAACTTGAACTGGTCTGAGAAGAAGTTTGGACATTTTTCTGATACATTTTGGATCATCCACGGTATGGACTATGACATAAGAGATCGGAGCTGAGGAGATATATCGGCGAGAGATGGAGATTAAGCAATGACGCCATGGATGTACAGCTGCTTACCCAGGGAGGATGCGGCAATTGTGCTAGAAGAAGCCCACGAATAGAACCTCGAGGGGCACTTCCCTAGAGCATGACCATTGTCGGGCATGGTGGTTCATACCTGTAATCCCATCACTCTGGGAGGCTGAGGCAGGAACATCAAAAGTTCAAGTCCAGCCTGGGCCACTTTGGAAGACCCTGATTCAAAAATTTAAAAAGGGCTGGAGATGCAGCTCAGTGCTAAGGTGCTCAGTTAGTCTCTACTATCTCAAAATAAAGAAACAAAAGAAGAAAGGGGTGGAGCTGGAACTAGTGGACATAATTACTTTGGTAAGAATAAGACACAGGCTCCCTGGTGCAGCCTGTCTGATTTAGACCTGGGAATCTGCTTGGAAACCTAGCATCCACCTTTCTGCTTCCTCCAGAGGACAGAGAATTCCACCCAGGAGAGATGGGTCTGTCTGGGGAGAAGGGGGAACTGGAGCAAGATGGAGAGGTCCATTTCATTTTCTTGAGCTTTTTAGTGTGGAACACTTGATCTTTTCGCTGTCCTGCCAAGGTGGGGTGAGGCAAGAGAAGGCTGAAAAACAGATATTTCTCCCTGGAAAAGTGGTGTCACTGATGAAAACAGTACTATGAAATGTCCCTTGAGGGTCATCAGTAAGAAAGAAACCAACTTGTCCTGTCTCAGGCTTCTGCAGGGTGACAGAGAAAAAGACGCTATGCTCACAAGAGCTCAAGCGGAGCTCGCTGGCTGTGTGATCCTGGGCAAGCCACCTAAGCTCTCTGAGCTCCACTTCTCTCAGTAAAGATGAATCATTTACATCCATTCTTGCATGCAGGGGATAGTGTTTGGAGTTCAGGCTGTATATCAGACTTTGCTGACATTCCGGCCCTGCCAAATTAAGGGCTTTATGGGAAAGTACTCCTCTATAACCCTGACTGCTTGCCTGCAAAACAGAGCTCACCACAGTCCCTACAGGACAGGAGACTCTCTCACTTCCCTCCAGCCTTTGCTGCTGCTGCTGCTTGTTCAGCATGAAACACCATCTGCCACCACCCTAGCCAGTGTCTTCCACTCAGCCTGCAGGCTCTGACTCAGATGCTGCCTCTCTAAGAAGTTCCCTGCACTCTCCACCTGGCCTTCATCTGTCATAGCATTTATCACACTTTAAGTACATGATTAATTATCTGTTGTCCCAATGACACTGGGGTCCAGGATGGCAGGGGCCATGTCAGCGTGGAAGCATGAGCCCATCCCCCACTGCCTGGCCCCACAGAGGGAAATAGTGGCAATGATAGGAAATCAATATGTTACTGTTCAACAAACAGCTTAAAATAAATAAGTATATAATAAATAGTTTCTATCACCTTAGTGCCTGGAACAGGTAGTTCTGTGTACTCGTTAAAATTTATGCCAAGCCTACAAGCAATGATACTCTAATAACAATGACCACATGCAGCACACAACCTCTGTTCCTAAATACTGATACTAAAAGCAGCCAGGCTCCTAGGAGATTCAGCTCAGAGCCAATGGGAAAGCCTGGAAGACCTGTTTAAGAAAGCAAGAAAAGGCTCCCAGAGGTTGAGTTAGGGCCCAAAGGAAATGACATTAGGCTTAAAAGGCATTATTAAACAAATTAGGGGGGAGAGAAGGGGAAATGACCAGAAATAATAATTTACTGTAAAACATGGGATTTTAAAAAATCCACAAGTCATCAGTCTCAAAACAAACAAACAAATAAACAAAAACAACAAAAACCCAAAAAGTCTTTGTTACTTACATATGAAGATAGGTCCCATGCCTTGGAGAAGTAGGCAGACACCTTAACCAAACAATCAAGCCGCACATTTTCAATAACAAGACAAACTGACATTATGCATCATGTATTCAATGGCAAGTACACACTCGTGTGATCTGAGAAAAAGAGAAAAGAAAAACTTTACTTGAATCTAATCTTGGGGCAGAAAGAGCAGACAGATCAAGATTTTGGGGGTACTCCATAAGACAGTCTTCAAAATTTGTCAGATGAAAGACCGAAAACAGAAGCAAAGGGGACTCTTCTGAATTAAAAAGCAGAGTGAAGGGACTTGGAGGGTTCTGTGTGATTTTCAGTTGAGTCCAGGATAGAAGCAGCACAGAGGTTAATTTAAACAATATAAAATCTGAATATAGGTTGTGTATTATCCAGCACTGCCGCATCGGTATGAAATTTCTTGGGTATAAAAATGGCATTTAGGCTACAGAGAAAGTGCTTATGAGATACATGCCGAAGTATTTATAAAGAACAGTCACAGCTCAGTTGCATAGGGAGTTTAACTATAATAGCTCCGCCTTCGGGCATCAGATTCACGCATGCGCGCAGTACATTTCTTTCCCGAGACTTATTTGGCGCGCTGGAGAGTCAGGTTGGGCCCGCGCAGCGGAAATGCACCACCGCTGGTTCCGCTGAGCGCGTCGACTACAAGAGCGACGGGATGGAGGAGGTGCCTCGCGGTGAGCTCGCGAAGGGGGCGTGAGTGGCAGGACTGAAGGAACGCGAACTCTTCTAACTGTGCTCTTGTCTCCGCGCAGACTGTCCCGGGGCCGATAGCGCCCAGGCGGGCCTAGGAGCCTCGTGTCAGGGATGCCCCAACCAACGGCTGTGTGCTTCGGGCGCCGGCGCCGCGCCGGACCCGGGTGAGAAAGGGGCAAGGCCTCAACGGGAAGTGAAAAGCTCGGGCACGGAAGAGGCGAGACTTGGGAGGACAGAGGGCGGGGCGTGCTAGAGAGGCGGAGGAGAGGGGCGTGGCCTGGAGAGCGGCGGTGGGACCTTTGAAAGGCAATAGCAGAGGAGAGGGGCGGAAGTGGGAATGGATCCTGAGGTATCCATAACGTGCGTGGACTCAAAAAGGACATTAAAGTGGGGCGGAGCCCAAAGGTGGCAGGCTTGGAAAAATCGGGGACTGATTTGAGCGACTGTAGCCGACCGCGGAAGGACTCGGCATTGAAAATTGAGAGGCCTGAGGCTTAAATTCTAGCTCTGCCTGCTGAGCAGAATGTTATTTCTTTCGAGAAGTGAGTCCACCGTCCACTCATTAGAAATGCATGTTAATCACCTCCTAGGCACAGTGCTCTGTGCTGACAGCTGTGAATGAGGCAGGTCTGGTCCCAGCCCTAGTAGAGTTGTTTAATAGGAGAGACAGACAGATGAACAAGCAAATAAGTAAATACTGTCGCAGGTAAGTACTGTGAACGACAAATTCCAAGGTGGGGAATACTCTTAACACCTACTTAGAAGGACCTTGAAAAGCAGGAGTTTGAGAGAAGAATCTTGCTGGAGTTCAGAGACTGGTTTGATTCTTGAACTCACTTCGAACTGTGACCTTGAGCAAGAATTTTAAATCTCTGAGCCTTCTCTTCCTTATCAAAAGAGAAAAATAGTTAACTCCTATATCATTTTAAGTATTTGAAGTTGGATGAAACATCTAAAGCACAGTAAATGATAGCTATCAGTGATAGATACTTATTACAAGCCTGCTACTTAATCAGAATTCCTCGTCATGAGTTACTGACATTTGGGGTCGAATCCTTCTTTGTTTTATGTCTGTCCTGTGTATTGTCAGACATTGAGCAGCGTCTCTGGCGTCTACCTACTAGATCCTAGTAACAATCTTTCATTGTGGCCTGCAGAATGTCTCCAGACATTGCCAAATATCCTATGGAGGATTTTGCCCCAGTTTTGAACCTGCAAAGTTGTATTCACAAGCTGCAAATACAGCAGTGAAGGCCTCAAACACTCTCCTCATGGAGGTTATATTCTAGAGGAAATGACAAATACATAAACCAATAAATAAGCTACTTTAATGTGTGGTCATAGCCTTATCATCTTTGTGGTATTTATTCCTACTGTTGATGAAGTGTCTCACACAAATTCCTTTTAAACAGTCCCAAGCACTTAGCCTTACCTAGCCCACTGGAAACGTGACCCTTAGGATTTGTACAGGGAGTTCATTACCTGAACTGCTTCCTTTACAGCCATAGAGGAAATCAAAGAGAAAATGAAGACGGTGAAACACAAAATCTTGGTGTTGTCTGGGAAAGGCGGCGTTGGGAAAAGCACTTTCAGTGCCCACCTCGCCTACGGCCTAGCAGAGGATGAAAACACACAGGTGGGACCCTGGGAAACCTGGGCAATGGTCTTGCTGTCTGAGGACTCGTGATGGCTCCTAGACAGCTGACCTTTTAGACTAAGTTGATCTCTTGGGCATCTTGATTGCTGCATAGAGAATAGGAAACTGCCTGGCAGTTAGCTTAGGTGTTTCACTGGGTTCCCTACCCAAGAAATTGGTGGGTACCAGTTTCCTCTTGTATGCTGATAATTTATTGCATTATGTTGATACTTCTTTTTCTTCTTCATTAATCTCAGCTTTTCTCTACACCAAGTGCCTGCAAACTATAGTCCGTGGGCTAAATCCAACCCATCTTCAATCATCTCAGAGTGGTGTTTATATTTTAAGGCATAAGAGATTTCCTGTTTGGCCATTGAAGGAAATGCTTGTTGACTTTGGTACTAGATTGTTCATTTTTACCCAAGGGTATGGATGAGCTTGAAACCTCAGATCACCCAGAGCGATTCTCTGGGTGTCAACTTTAATAAAAGTGTGGTAGGTAGCCAAGACTAAAAGATCAAGAGTTGGACAGCCCAGGTTTCCATCCCAGTTCCATTCACACCACTGCTGTGGCCTAGGGCAGGAAGCAGACTCTCTCTGCCTTGTTTTCCTCATCTGTAAAGTAGGGCTCTGGACTGAGTGAAATGAGGCATATAAATTGCTAACGAGGTGCCTGAATGTAGTACATGTTCAGTAACTGTCCATGATGGCAATCATCATTACTGCTTTACTGTACTACCTGGAAGATAATGATTTCAGCTTTAGAGATGTGTTTGTAGCCTAATCAGCATGGAGTTGAGCAGGTGAAAATATACTTGTCAGTTTATTGTTTTATGAGGCAACAGTCTTGTCATCTGAGGGTCAGATCTAATCAGCATGGAGTTGAGCAGGTGAAAATATACTTGTCAGTTTACTGTTTTATGAGGCAGCAGTCTTGTCATCTGAGGGTCAGATTTCCACTGCCTGGTGGGCTGGTCAAGAAATCTGGTGGTACATGCTTGTACTCTAAGCTACTTGGGAACCTGAAGTAGGGAGATCTCAAGTTCAAGGCCAGCCAGGACAACTTAGTGAAACTTTGTCTCAGAGTAAAAAAGGGCTGGGAGTGTAGCTCAGTGGTAGGGAACTGGCTTCAATCCCCAATACCACAGTTATTTTTTTTTAATTATTTCAGATTGTGTGGAACAATGTTTGTTTTTAGAAATTGTCACTAATACCCTTTACAGCTGTCTAAAGATAGCTTCTGCTCTGACTAGTTGTGAGTAGTCCACTGTTTACATCACTCCCTTCTATAGCATTCCATTCTGAAGTCCTCACTGCATACATGCAACAATATACTGAAGGAAACTTACCATCTAGCGTAGAGATATGGCTAAGTATGCTGAGTTTCTCTTTGCAGTGGTAGCTTAAAGAGGTATGCAGGAAAGTGTGTCTTTCCCAGGCATACCTTCTCAGGACAATGAAGACATCACCGTCTCCAGTGTGCACAGCGTCTGCATGTGTTGGGCACTGATCAGGTTATGTTGATTGGAGTAGAGTAACCTGACTTCTTTAGTCAGCCCCTAAATCCAGCAGGAGGTTGGGGAATGCCCTGTCCTTTATCTGAGGGCAGTTTGGTGGGAGCTCTGCACTTGCTGCACAAAGCAGGTCCTCTGTCATTCCATTTGGGAAGAACTTTGGATCAAAAGAGGATAGAATTGGAGAATAACTGTGACCCACTACCAGCAGGCAAGAGAATGCATAACGTGTGAAAGCCACAGGAGCCTTTGCAGTATAAGCTGGAGCCAGGGAACATCGAAGAGTCATGCACCAGCTTTCTATTGTGAATGTCACAGGCTACATAATTTACGATCTTGCATTATGATCTGGAAGGTGAACTGTACCACTGAATAATCGGTGCTGGGTGTTTGGGAACTAGAGTTTGAGGCCCCTCTCTGGCACTGATAAACCCCAGAGCTTGAAAGACTTGGAACATTTGTTTCATATACCAGAAACCCGGACGGCTGAGGCAGAGAAAGGAGAGGAGGCTTAGTGATAGCCATTATTGGAGTAGTGAGTCTTTCAGTAGCACATCTAAAGGGACCAGCCTGGCCCTCCGAAACCGGAACTGGCTGACACCCTTGTGGGTACCCTCGGGGGTCAGTGCCCCCTCCTGTCTACTGCATGAAGTTTTACTCAGTTTCTTCCCTTGGTCATGAGACCATGGCTTCTCAAAAGGCAGCTGATGGAGTCCTTCGCAGAAGGAATGGCATGGAGACAGGGTGACTAGAAGCCCAAGTTGCCTGAAGAGAGCCTGCTGGGGTTGCAGGGATGGTGGCCTCACCCCCATGTCATGAGGTACAGATAGTGAGTGTCGGGGGAGGAAGAAGGGAAAACAGTCAGACTGTTCTGCTGCACTACTGGGCTGGTCCAGCAGAGGGCACAGGAGGCGAGTGGCACCTTGCGGTGAAGTTTGTTATAGGTCTGAGGTACCAGGAGGTTGGGTCTGTTAAGATTGAACAAGGAAGAAAACAGCTCGGGGTGAGTTTAAAAGTTACCCGAGACCTCCCAGCTCTCAAGATGAGTACAAGACCTGCCCTTCCACAGGTTTCTGAAGACTGGCCTAGATCTTCACATTTTTCAGACTGGAAGGCTGGGGTTGGGGTCGAGGAGGAGTCGTCAGAGACTGCACCAGATCACCAGCAAAGAGCTTTCTAGATATCTTTCCTATTTTAAGTGTCTTTTTTGAAAGCTCGTTGTTAACCTTTAGGATCATAGGAAAACAGGCTTGGCCGGAGCTCAGCCAAAGGTCTGCTCTGGGTTCATTTCTAGAACTCTACCTTTGAACTTTGGAGACTGCTTTATGTCTCGGCTCTGTTCCTTGCTCATTGAACATGTCACTCGTCTCCCTGCACCTCAATTTTTTTCTTCTGTGAAACAGAGAAGAAAGAATAGGGCTGCATAAACTGCAGCCAGGCCTGAGTCTGCAGGTGCCCTGACACCAGTCCATAAAGCAACCTTGGAGCTGAATCAGATTTAGGGAAGCAGAGTGTGGATGAGGTTTTTCCTAGGAGTTTTTAGCAGTGCCTTGGCGATCTGGAAGATCAGTGTTACCACTCTCCCCATGAGAACCTGCCTGCTTTAAATCTGACCTAGTTTCTTTCTGCCATCTCCTACTCCATACCCCATCCTTTCCTCTGTACGTTCGGCACATAACCACCAGGTCTTGGCTCACCCCACAGGTTGCCCTTCTGGACATTGATATATGTGGGCCTTCTATCCCCAAGATCATGGGATTGGAAGGAGAACAGGTAAGAGCTGCATTTCAGAACTTGGGGCGCTGTGCTTTTCAGACAGGCATGGAGGTGAGCAGAGGCCAGCCTGTCCATGTGGCATGGTAAGCTCAGATATGTATTCCATGGACCGTTTGCTTGAGTGGGTGGAATTATATATTCAAGGGGTGGGGTTATATATAAAATCCATCTGCACCGTTTGAGAAGCATGGTATGGATGCCTTCTCAGAGGTAGAGGGAAACCGAAATGCAGAAGTGAGACACGGAAACAGCTTTGGCTGGGGCCTTGGGGCTGGGACTTGCTCAGGGTCTATGCCCTGGAAACCAGGAAATCTTCCTGCCCTGTGGTCCCCCAGGGAACAGACTTTTAGGTGAGGCCGTGAGTGATGCAGGCAGAGAGACAGAGCCGGTAGAACAGATGCCAGGCTTCCCTCTCATTAGTGACAAGCTGTCCCAAGGAGGGGCCCCTTGGAGGTGGAAATAGGCCCTGTGTCCCAGGACTTTCAACACTGACTCTTTCCTCAGTGCTAGGTCCTATTCTAAGGAAGCAAAGTAAGAGAGGTAGGTAAAAGCTCATGGGAGAGGGCAAGTGACAGCAGGCTGCAGCAGGGCAAGGGGAGCTGCACTTGGGCAACGGTGGTCTGTAGTAGGCAGATAGCATACAGAGAGGAGAGCTGGAGAGGAGCCTTGTGGGCTGAGGGAAGGGTAGTAGCTTGAACCCAGAAGTCCTTGTGTCCTGGATGGACTGGAGGGTCATTGAGGCAGGTGGGGCGTCCTAGTGGCTCTGCTAAGGCCTTGGGTTTGCATCTGACAGTACTTTGTGGGGGTGACACAGCCCATAGTTGGGCAGGATCTAGACATTCTAGATCACAAGTCTCAGTAACACACTACCCGATGTGGGTATAAGGAACTTACTGTAATAGCACAGAAATATTTTCTTCTATGCTATTGGACCATCATGTTTGTCACTCTTAAGACTAACGACTTAGTGAATAACTAGATAGGAATGAATAGGTTTTTTTGTTTTGTTTGTTTTTTTCCGAAACCAGGGATTGAACTGACGACCTCGCACTTGCCAGGCAGGCACTTATGCCACTGAGCTAAATCCCCGGCCCAGGAATGAATAGTTTTTTTAAAAAGAAAAACGTCTGTCACAGAGGACCATATATTATGTTTTTGTTTACATGAGATTATAAAATAGGCAATTGTAGACAGACAAGAAGTAAGTTAGGTATCACCTAAAGCTTGGGGAGTTGGGAGAAGACAGCTAAGGAGTGCAAGTTTTTTTGCAGTCATGAAAGTGTCCTAAAGTTTGTTGTGTGGTGCACAACTCTGTGGTATAAACAAGGCCACTAAAATGTGCACACTTTCAGTGAGTGAATCGAACTATCTCTGAACTATATTTCGGTGAAACTTGAAGAGAAGTAAGACTTCATCAAGAAAAATGGCCCTTTGATTTTTGGCTGTTGTGCATTGCTCTAAAGAAGCGTGACTGCTAAGACTGGTGTGTACCTGCAAGCTGCTGAGCCCTACCTCCATAACAAGGGGCCACAAAGAGTTAAATCATGGACACCAAGCCAGAAGGAGGGGTCTGAGGTTCACTGTTGACCCAAGGGGCTCCTGTGCCCCAGCTCTTGCCCTGGATTAAAGAACTCAGGCTACTTACCCCAGTTTTGAACCCTCTGTGTCACTAAAAAAGAATTCCTAGACTTTTGCAGAAGCAGTCTATTGCTCCACAGTGAACTGTATTTTCTCAAGACCTTCCAGCCATTTCTGTCGCTCATTCTTTTAAGATGCCTCAGAGTCAAAGTCGTATTTGAACTGGAGTAATTTTGGTTCCCTGAATACAAACCCAAGCTGATTTTCAAAATAGCCAGATCTGGGGAGCAAAGAGTGCTGATCGAATTGCATCTTTGTTCCTCACCCTACCCCCCCCCCAGCTGTTCATATCCCCTCAAAAATTTGGGGCTGTTTTGTGCAGTGATGGAGTATATTTTATACCGCTTTTTCTGTATACAAAGTGTGACCAGGGTGCATAATTTCTTACAAATTGACAACACTCGTGTTCACACAGGTTCACCAGAGTGGCTCAGGCTGGTCTCCAGTGGTAAGTATTCACCTCTTTGCTGTATGGGGCAGGTGTGCAGTCAGGTGTACATAACAGCTTTGTGGGAGGATGGAAGCATTTTCCCCAACCTTCCTGCCTGTCAGTCTGCAGATATTTACTAGGGTACTTTCCCAGGCAGGGAAGATAAAATAGAATTGGAGTTTGGCAAACTTTGTCACTAAATATTTTCAGCTTGTGAACGTATATACTCTCTTAGTATGATTGGAAAGCAGTAATATGTGACTAAATGACCATGACTGTGTTCCAAAAAAGTTTGCTTATAAAAGCAGATAGTGGGCCAGATTTATCCCCAGTTTGCTGACTGCTGAATAAGACAGTTAAGGAGATGACATGTATTTATTTCAGCTCTGTTGATTGTCATTGTAGCACAGGGCTTTCAGACCCCCTCAATATGGGTTGGGGTGCAAAGAGAGAATATACTCATAAATCACATGAAAACTTCATCCCGAAAACAATGTTTTTAGCTAAGACCCAGACAGGAGCCACAGGAAAAGACCCCTCTTTGTGACATTGCATAAAGTGTGTATCACCCTCACCTTTTTCCTCCCTAGTATGTGGAAGATAACCTGGGGGTGATGTCTGTGGGTTTCCTGCTCAGCAGCCCTGATGACGCTGTTATCTGGAGGGGACCAAAGAAAAACGGTTTGCTACTCTACTTTTCTGCTCACATTCTTGTGTGGTTACATCCTGTCAGGAAGCAGCAGCCACCCTGTTAAGCTTTGTAATGTATTACCATTGTTACTGTTTTGTAGTGCTGAGGATGGGTCCCTGTGCCTGATGTGTGTTAGGGAAGCCACACAGTTATAACCCAGCCCCCGTAATGTGTTCCTCCCAAGCATCTGGTTCCTTCTGTCTTCACTAGGTGAAGAAAGCTATAAGAAATACCTGTTTCCGTTTTATAATTTTTAATGTCTTCTGTGAGTTTTTTCTCTTCTTCATGTCTGTAGAATTCGAAGTTGTCTTTGTTACGGTTTTGTATTGGTTTATTTGGGTCAGAGAGAGGTTTGTAAGGTGAGCTTCCTACCAGGTTGAACAGGTTCTGAGTCACTTGCCTTACATCACTGACACTGGGCCACTTATGTCTGTACTAGGGGAGGCACGTAGACTGTGCCAGGGGTGGAAGAGATTTGATAGTGTCCCCAGCCTTTACCCACTAGATGCCAGTAACACTCCTTGGCTACTTAAGGCAGCCAGACATGACTTCATATATCACCACATACCTCTGAGGACAGTGTCACCCATAGCTGAGAACTAGTGTTATGGAGCAGAGACCAGGCATACAGACACACTGCACACTGCTTCCATGTATCCTTCCATGGTACCAAAAAGGAAGGGAGGCAGGCAGAGCCTCGATTCCTTTTCAGGCATGATCAAGCAGTTCCTCCGTGACGTGGACTGGGGCGATGTGGACTACCTCCTTGTAGATACACCACCTGGCACCTCTGATGAGCACCTCTCAGTTGTCCAGTATCTAGCTGCAGCACACATCGATGGGGCAGTGATCATCACCACTCCTCAGGTGAGTGAGCATTGGGTTCCTTTTTCTTACTCTGAGATAGACTTTGGCTTCAAGGCAACATTTCAGAATATGCATTTATAACTACACCCGGCGTGGATCTGTAGAAATCCCTTATTAGACTGAGTGGTGGAGGGTATGTTTGGCATGTACAAGGCCCTGGATTTGATCCACCAACCCCCAAAATAAACAGGAGGCAGTTAAGCCTACTGTCTTAGTTATTTTTCTCTCAATACTAGAACAAGATACCTGACACCTAAAGTTAAAGAGGGAAAGGTTTATCTAGCTCACAGTTTGTAAAGGTTTCAGTCCATAATTGACCAGCTCCAAGGCAGAGTGGCATATGACAGAGGGGCAGTAGTTCATGGCAGCAGAAGATAGCCAAAGTAATGGGTGGGAGAGAAGTCTCTTTCTATCCCTTACATTGTTTCCAGTCTACCCAAGTTAGGGTGGTGCCAGTCAATCAGTGGACTGATCCGGCAGTCACCTACCCTTAATCCTAGCATTGCAGTATGAATTAATCACACACTATAGATTCAGCCACCTCCAAAAAAACCCTACGACCACATGAGGCTTTGCGGGGGACATCTAGACACCATAAAATTCACCCTTTGGATAGTCCAAAAAGAGAAAACAGACTGAGCAGGTGCCAGCCCTTCTCTGGTTGCTGGCAGGCTCTCCATACTTGTATAATTTCTCTGGAAAATGTAGCTTCGGGCCAGGGTCATACTTTTTAGAGCTCCTAATATCAAGCATTGAGATGGGTAGTGAGGGTTTCTTATTGGTCGCTTTTGACAAAGCGGCAGGATTTTATTCATAAGACACCAAGTGGAGAATTACAAAGGTGTAATTAATAAGGGACTAATGGCCACTCCCTTCCTGCCTAAGGATTTTCTCTCCATACTTGGCCTCAGTGGGCTGAAACCTACATGTGTGTTTCAGGAAGAAAGGAGAATTCTGAAAGCTTTGAACCCATTAAGAAGCTGTAACCATACTTGACAGTTATGAGCCAGACCAATGCTTGGTGGATGAAACTGCAGTAATGTTGAATGAGACAGTAGCAAGGGGCTGGACACAGTAAAATGACACTGAGATAAGTGTTCAGACTTCAGAAGTGCATTGAAAGGGACCTGAAGCAGGTAGTGGCCTTTATTTTTCTCATTGTCCATAAAGTTGTTTGTGTTTATAATGTCAAATGGGTTAGCAAACTTCCTGTAAAGGAAGTTTGGCTAGTTAAAGGAAGCTGGCTAGTTAAACTTTAAGCCTGTCTAGTAAATACCTTTAGCCTGGTAAAGCGTAAAGTCTCTACCAAAGTGACTCAGCCATGCCACTGTGTATACAGAGGGATGGATGTGGCAGGTTCTAGAAGTGCTGCCTTCACAGAAGAAGTGGCCAGCCAGACAGGGCATACCCATCAGAGTTTGCCAGGCCCATCTGGCAAACAGTATGTAAGAAGGTTAAGTGTAGAGAGATACTCAGTGGAAGATTCTTATGTTTGCTACTTGGCTGTTAAGGTTTGTAGAAAGTAATAGCAGTTAGAACAGGCCTTATCACACAGTAGTCACCAAATAAGGCATAAATGGCAGGCATCTCCAAAACTGTATGGAGAAAGTCTGCCAATCAGCAGCCTGATTTTGGCGTAACTGTTCTGTTTCCACCATGGCAGGAGATATCATTGCAGGATGTCCGGAAAGAAATCAACTTCTGTCATAAGGTGAAGCTGCCTATCATCGGGGTAGTGGAGAACATGAGTGGCTTTGTGTGCCCCAAGTGTAAGGTGAGAGAGGGCTTGGCATCAGGTCTGCATAAATACCCCTTCAGAGGAAAGTCTCTTTGTGAAAGTGTTACTGCTTTCCATCGTTTTGGGAAGTGGATCTTTATTGCTGACTGAAGGGAAATGCTTCTGGTGGTCAGTAGGTTAGTGTTCTGCACTAACAGAATGGAGTTTTTTGTACTTGGGGTTCAACCCAGGAGCTTTGTACTGAGTCACATCCCAGCCCCTCCCCACACTGTGTTTTTCATTTTTTAATTTTGTGACAGCATCTTGCTAACTCACTAGATTACCTAGGCTGGGCTTGCACTTGCAGTCCTCCTGCCTCGGTCTTCCAGAATTCTGGAAGTTATAGTTGTGTACCATCATACCCAACCAGGCTATTTTTTAAAAAGGTTTAAAAAACTATGATCTGTCTTTATGATCCTGAAACAAAGTCAGGCTTCCTTCTGTTTTCTTTTCTTCACAGAAAGAATCTCAGATCTTCCCCCCAACAAGTGGGGGTGCAGAGGCCATGTGCCAAGACCTGAAGATCCCTCTACTTGGCAAAGTACCTCTGGACCCACACATAGGTGAGTCGCTGAGTGGGCCTTCACTGCTCGCTCGGCCCTCATGGGCAAGAGGCTGGGCTGGAAAAAGGATGATGGGGAGTTGGAGGTTGATATATAGGGCTCTTGTTCCTGCTGATCCTCCAGAGGCCTACTCCACTGATGCTGCAGGAGAAATGGTGACACTCGTGGGCAGGTGAGCCCTTGTTGTGAGCAGAACTTGTTCAGGAAGATAGTAATGGAGGAAGAGAGAGGGTACGAGGAAAGAAAGATATCAAGCAGGATGACAGGAAGAAGAGTGGCTACAGGGAATAAGAGTGGCCCCAGCTTACAGAAGAATGTGGATCTAAGGAGAAGCTCCCCAGTGAGGTACCCTGGAGCCCTTCTCCCAGGAAGCCTCTCCCTTCTCTAAGCTACCCCTCCAGATTCCTGTTGCCCCACAATAAGACTGGAGCTTGCTTAAGTTGCATGCACCTGTGCAGGGACCCAACTATAGGAAGTATGCAGCAGAACAGCTGGGTCTGGGGAGAGAGGAGGCTGGCGCCCCACTACAAATGGCTTTGAGCCAGGCCCCAGAGCTTGAGCTGTCAGGGAGAAGCCAAGGTATCTGAGTGGGTGTGGGCTCACGAGTGCTAGGCTAGCAGCACAGGGCCAGTTGGCACCAGGAGCTGGGCCCTGGTATGAGAAGAGTTCCCACCAAGTGACAAGACTTGGTGGTTGAGGAGAAAGGAGTATCACGGCTGTCTTTGCTGCCTAGCACAAGCCGTCTGAACAAGAAGGCATTGTCTAGAAAGGGAGAAGCAGCCAGGGACATATGACAAGGAGGCAACTGCAGGGATGCTGCTCCCTCAGGGACCTGGTTTTGAGTGGCAGGTGCCCAGGCTATCATCAGGCTTGGACTGAGGCTACAGGGAAGGTGGGGAATGGGGGAAGTGTCAGGTCCATCAGGCTGGTGGCAAAGCAGAAGAATGGGCAGTAGGACCTGGGGCAGGGGATTGAGGAGGGGCTGATAGGCCAGAGGCAGGGGCTGGGTCGTGCCTTTAAAAAATGGGAAAATGGGATAAGGATGGCCTGAGGCTAGAACAGCCCTGGAGAACCTGCAGACCCTGCATGTAGGAGTGTGTCCCCATCCCCCTTCCCTTGGTCCCTGTGTCCAGGATGCTCCTCTGGTGTGTGGTTCCCCTGCAAAATGCAGAGAACCACATCTGCCTTCCAGCCCCTACTAGGCACTAGAGACTTCCACTGGGTGGCTGCCCCTGGCCACAGTGGTGCTGAGCGCTTCCCTTCTTTTGTGAGCCAAGGCACTCCCTGCAAAGGCCCCACAGGCTCCTGAGGCCGGTGCCAGGTAAGTGAGCATAAGTAGCATGTGCATGTACATTGCTGCCAGCACTGCTGCCTCAAGGAGGTCCCCTAATACAGGATTGGTTGCTAAGAGATGTTGGGAGAAACCCTGAGCCCAGCGTCGGGGAGAGAGAAGGTCTCAGCCTACTGGAGCATCTCAACCTGAGGGAGCATTCCATGTATTTCGTGGCTTTAAGGGAAATTGGGCACAGCCACCACAGCATCCTCAAGGCTAGTCACCCCTTAGCGGGGCTGTCTTCTCTACCATGTGGCTTCAGAGATGACCTATGTATGGCCAGGAGGGGACCAGAGTCAAGAACTGCACAGCCAGGAAGGACTAACAGACTGATCTGTACCCTGTGGGTGACCCTGAGGATGTATTTAAATGTGTCAAAAGCAACAAGCAGAACATGGGCATTGTATGTTCCTATCATGTTTCAAGTATAAGAGTCTATGTGTGTGTGTTCATTTGAAATCCATGTATGTGTATGTTTCTGGAAAGATCCTCAAAAACTAGTAGGCTTGGATTTCCTTTCATGATATTTTCCTTTTGTAGTCCTTGGTTAGTGATTTGTTTGTTTTTACTGTGTACATTATCTTTATACTCAGTCTTTTACAGTGCACACTGCTGGGCCCACCAGGGACTGCTAAATCACCAATTCTCTGTGATGCCCTGGAACATGCACTTGCCACACATTAGCTGATTTGCAGCCGCACTGAAGTGGTTAGCCAGGTCCCCTGCTGGGTGGAGGGTATATAAATGAGGTCCTAGGGTTCTAGCTTTTTTTTTTTTTCCTATACATTTTCTTTAGTGAGGGTTCCAGCTTTGTTCTCCATGAACTCTAGATCACATCACTGGCACAGAAAGGGCCCCAATGACTCATTGTACCATGTTTCCTTTAAGGGCCTCATCTTATTTTTCTCTTTAAGGTAAGAGCTGTGACAAAGGCCAGTCCTTCTTCGTTGAAGCCCCAGATTCACCGGCCACATTAGGCTACAGAAGTATAATTCAAAGTAAGTGTTTTAAGTGAGTGTCATAAATTCAGACACTTATGTACAGGGAAGGTAGTGAGGCAGGCTGGGTCTAAGGGCAGCCTCCCGCTGAAAATCAGAGTTGTCACCACCACCAGCCTTGGCAGGGACAGTGTAGGTGATGGGGACTAGAATGAGCACAGAGTGGTTCCTTCAGCCAGAAAGCCAATGAGAAATCTCCTAACATGTCAATGTTGTAAACTAATTCATGGCTTACAAAGCATAATGAGCCAGGTCGGATGGTGCATCCTGTAATCCTAGTATTTTGGGAGGCTGAGACAGCAAGATCGTAAGTTTGAGCCCAGTCTGGACAGTGTAGCAACTTAGTAAGACACTGCTCAAAATAAAAAATAAATTTAAAAAAGGATAGGTCTGTAGCTCAGCAAGAAGGCCCTGCATTCAATCCCACGTATCCACCCCTCTCAAAATAAAACAGAAAAACAGTGAAATATAAGGATCCATTTCAGTAAGGCTATTTAAAAATAGACTTAAAAAAAAACAAAATCTAAGCCAGGCATGGTGGCATATACCTCTAATCCCAGCACTCAAGAAACTGAGTCAAGAGGATTGCCATGAGTTTTAGAGGCCACCATGGGCTACAAAGTGAGTGTAGGCCAATTTGAACTGCATAGTGAAATTGTCTCAGAACAACAAAAAAAAGCAAAATGTATGATGACCCAAAGTGAACCCTTGTACAGGCCACACGGAGCCACCAGCAGCGATCAAGCCCTCAGATTTAAGGCAGAAGTAACAATAACTGATTAGAATTCCTGCCTCTTAGTTGGAGGCTGGACTTCATTCACCAGTAAAGTGATATGAAGGGTCAGTCTCAGCATTCCAAGGATCCAACTGTAGAACAGACCCAGGTAAGGCTCCAGCTGTAGTTATACTCACAGTGAGCAGCAAGAGTCATTTGGCTCACTTTCCAGGATTCAAGGTATCACAGAGCCAAGCTCTTTATGGAATTAGGCTACCAGTAGATTCCACCCCTGTAAGGCTATGGCTTTCCCCAGCAAGGGTGAGGCTGTCGAGGTTGATACTCATGAGCACTCTGAACTCCTGGTCTTATTTTCCAGAAATCCAAGAGTTTTGTAGGCTCCATCAGTCAAAAGAAGAGACCTCATCAGTTCCTAAAGCATGTTGAAGACCAGGCAGTTCCCGAGTCATGGAACCTGCCAGCAGCACGTCCAAGCATGCTGTCGCTTGGGGACAGGTGAGATCACAGGCCAAAAGGGACCAGATGCTGACGTGCTTGGAAGTGATTTTCTCAGAGACATTTTAACCATCTACTCTGTCAGCTTTCTATTGAACATGGCTGCAGGGTCTCCTTAACACACATACCATTTTAAAATAAAACAGCTCCTCAAATGTGGCCCACAAGATCTCTTCCCAGACATCAAGGGCCTGGGGACCAGGCATCCTGCGCTGCTGGAAGTCAACCTGATCACAGGACAAACCACCCTGCCTTGGAAGAAATAAGGCCAGGAAGGAACCAGCAGGCTGGGTATGGGGCATCTGTATGGAACACGGTCCTGCTTTCAAGCAGTAGCATCCACATTGTCGTTTGTTGGAAGGAAAGTCTAGATAGCAGCAGAGCCTTACAATGGGGTTCACTCTGGGAGCCATTAAAACTTCCTTGAAAAGCCCATAGTCAGCCATTCAAGAGGATCTGTGATCTGCATATACACCATGGTTAGTAATATATGTACAAATATCCAGTAATTTCCAGGGTCACATGCCAGCAACAGGAACTGAGACCAGCAGAGGGAAGAATAAATTCCTGTTTTCCGTACCACTCTGGAGGCTAAAATGGAAGGCAGGCAAATCCCCTTGTTCTTTCCCTTTCCTCCCCTGCTGCCCGCACATGTGGTTGGATTTTCATATGTTCTCCGTGAATAAGGTGGCACCTCTCTAAAGGGTGACAAGGCCACAGAGCCTGGGTACAGTCTGGCTTTGGTCTATGTCCTTGACCACTCAAGGAAACTTGGGCACAGTGAGACAGGCCCTGCACTTCCTAAAAGCTCTACAGCCACCAGCCTTGATGCATTTCCCACCTAATGCTGGTAAGGTTCCATGTCGAGGCCAGGCTTTTGAAAGTCACCTGGGGAGGGAGGAGCCACGGCTTTCTGCCTTGCCCTGTGAGCAGGCCACTTGGGACGCTTGCAGGACTGCCAGCTTGTTGTCTTTGCACACTAGCCTTGTTCAAATATAAGATTATTCAAACTGTCAGGGTGAGCCTGGTAAAATTTTAAAAACTCATCTGTTTCTCACTTCCAGGCGTGTCTGCTAACTTAAGAAAAAAAAGTGATTCTTTCCTTAATTCTACAGGATTTTAAAGAAAAACATGCAACCAAAATGTAATGAGAGGACAAATGCTGTCTGACTGCACTTAAAGGCAACCCTGGTAGTTAGTGGCATAGATACAGACGGTGTGGCTGGGGGAGAGTGGTGGGAAGTCAGTGTTTAATAGATACAGTTTCAGCTTGGAAAGGTGTAAAATTCCCGGAGATGGGTGACGGCTGCATGACATCGTGAATGTATGTAATGCCAAAAACTGCACATTTGATAATGGTTTCAATGTCAATTTTGTGTAAATTTTATTGCAATAAAAAGAACAGTGGCAGGCTGGCATCAGCAGGGTTACACAAATTGTGATGCCAACAGCCTCCTTCACTCTGCACAGCTGCAGGGTAACTGTCCAGATGAGACCTCAGCAACTCACCGTCTGGAACACGGTCTGGGACAGAAAATTGGCAGTGACCTTGCTGATGTCGCTTTCACCTCCCATCTTACAAAGGATGTAGCCGTAGAGGTTCGCAGTTTGGAGTGAAATCCCGGCAATCACGAGAGCCTGTGCGCGGGCAAAGCAAAAGAAATGTGCAGAGAGGAAGCCTCCAAGACCCACCAGCCTCTACTGAACAAGACTCATGGGTGCCCTGCAGTTAGCAATCCAGCAGCCCATGCCATCAGCATCGTACTTCACAAGGAGGAGAGGAACGGAAACACAAACAAGCTAAAGCTGCCCTAGGTCAGAACCTGGGAGAGTGGCTGAGCACCACAATCCACCGCCAGAGCCTACACTTGTAGTTACTCTGCTCTTCGTTCAAAGAACTAAATCATAGCAATGAAATACTATACTTCCAAAGTAAAACTGCACACCTCTGAGGCTTATTCCCACCTAGCCAGGGCTCCCATCCAAGGGAGAACGTAACATGCCGTTTTTTAATAAAGTCCTTTCTTGGGGCTCTGGATACAGCTCAGTGGTAAAGCAGTTGACCCTGGTGCAAGGCCCTGGCTTCCATCTCAGCAATATAAAAAACAAAATTTGGCTCAGCATTACTTATAAGAACCAAAAGATCACTAACAACCAAATAACCATCAGCTGATAAATGTGGTATGTCCATACAATGCAGTGTTACTTGGCCATAAAAGGAATGGTGTTCTGACACACCACAACTCGGCTGGACTGTGAAAGACATAAAAGCAGCCAGTTACAAAAGACTGCATTGTATGATTACATTTCTATAAAATACCCTACAGTAGACACATCTATGAAGATAGATTAGTGTGTGCCAGGGGTTGGGAGAAGAGGGACATGGAGTGGTAACAGCTGAAGGGAACAGAGTCCTGTCTGGCATGATGAAAATATCCTAATGGGCCATTGTGATTCTTCACAGGGGCCCGCCCATGTCTCCTAGGTGGGGATAAGTCAGAGTTATCTTGGAGGCATAGTATTTCACTGCAGTGGTTTAGTCCTCTGAGGAATAAAATATCTAAATATAATTTAAGCATCATTGTAATTACACGTGCAGGTCCTGGAGTCTGCACCCTATTTCTGCCTCTTCTGCTGTCTGACCTAGGGCAGCTTTGGCTTGTTAGTACCTCTGTCCCCTCTTTACTGCTAGACACAGAGTGTACTTTTATTTTCACTTTTCATCTTTCTTTTGTTCTTCCCTTAGCCCTTCACTCCTCACCTCTGAAGTAAACTTTTGGCACCATTAAAAAAAAGGAAAATACCCTAAAATTGATCATGACCATGGTCTCATGGTTATGACTGCTAGAAGCCACTGATTATGCAATTCAAATGGGCAAACTGTATTGGGATAAGAACATCTCAACACAGCTATTATACCCTGTTAGTAACAACAAAAGCCTACTCCAGCCACCGGTTTATAGAGATATCAGAGCAACGTCAAGGTCACAGTGTTGGCTTACCAGCCACTTTAGCTTCAAGGAAAACAAGGTGCTGAAAAAAAACACTATCCAGATCATGGGACAGATGATGAGGCCAAGCCAGAAGATGCGCGCCTCGGCTTCCGTAGCGGCGATATGATTTGGAGATACCTGTTGGAGGAAAGAATTCACTTTTCAGACTTAACGAAGATGGCTGCAAATAGCACTCAAGCACTTTTCTTTATGTTACACACGCTTTCACTGCACAGAGCGCCAGGGGCAGTGGGTCTCGTGCAGGGCGGGATTCGGATTCTGTGCATGGAACTTGGAGGAAGCCCATGTAAACTTCATACAGACATCTCTCTCACATTCCTTGTCGAGGAGCTTACTTTTCGGGCTTCAAAAATCCAGTGGCTTTTGCCATCTTCATCGATCTGGTTCCACCATCGGAGGCCCACCATGAGTCTTCCGGTTACATTCTGAAGAGAACGGACAAAATGACCAAAGGCCTGCCATGGGCAAAATGTCATCATCCTGATGAATGAAATGAAAGTCACCAGTTAAACTTGTACTGAGAAAAGGATGAAAAGTGGTGATTTCTTCATCTTTTGATGCTTCTAATAGTTAAGCTTACTTTAAAAAGTGAGCCCCTCCCCCAAAATATATACTTGTGTTACATATGTTTGTGATATTTTTATATGTAAATTTTGTAAAATTCCAAGGTCATTTGGGGTTGTCACCCCTCCCCCATGGAAACGTGAATAGGGTGACAATTGATACTCAAAACCTGTTTATTGAACACTAAGCAGTACACTCTGTTCCTTTAATTTTAAGTGACACTGGCTTAGTTAAGTATGTGCCAGCCGTTTAAACCAAAGACCAGCACACATAGGGAATGTGACTGTCTAGGAACAAAGCACATGTGCCCCGAGACAGCATCACAGGAGAGGGAGCCTTACCTTCACAGACCAGAAGTCAAAGGACAGAAGGAGCAGCACAGTGACAAAGCAGCCCACAAAGCTCTTGCTGAACCAATCACAGCATACGTAGGTGACAATGGCACTCACTCGGAAGAAAAGGTGAAAAAAGGTGGCCAAGGGATGCCTAGAAAACAACCCAAAGATGCCCTCACTCCCAAGCCCAGATGCAGTCACAGACGTACTCCCCCAGTCAGAGCTCCAGGCCACTGGTATCTGCACAGAAAGCCGTCCAAGCCAGAACACAGGCAGCAGCGCTGAGGACACATCGCTATCTTCCCTGTCACGAAACTGTCACGATACTAGCAATAGTGTTTTCTTTCCTTCGAAGAATCCAGTACTTTCCCCTAATTTGACTCCAAATAGCACTTTCTTGGTTTGAAACTTTAAAGTGAAACAGGACTACAATCATTTGTTTCCAGTGACATACGATGGTGGCCAGTTCCCTAAAGGTAAATGTCAGGTTATTCCACTCGTAACAGCATGTGTGCAGTCTGTGGGCAAAGGCCTGGTGTCACCAGGGAGTGTGTTCCTGGGAGAGGAAGTGGCAGGTCCAACTGGTGCCAGCTGCTCAACAGTGTCACCTGAATGCCACTGACATTAATCAAGAGGAAGATGACTCTTGTTCACCATGCCTATGACCTACCAAAAACAGTGGCACAGCGAAAAGCAGTCATCCTGCATCCATTTAATGAGTCTTGGAGAATAACAAAGGGTGAGTTCTTAAAAAGAATGGAGAGTTTGTCTAGAGCAGGAAACGGACGGCACAGGGGTCAGGCCAACAGTATCAGTGGCTAATGCAAGCCATAGGACACATGTGGCTTTCTGTTTCTTCTCACACATCGCTTTCTGTTTCTTTCTTTGGTATCTCAATTTAAATAGACCTCACAGGTAGAGAAGAGTGCTCAGCTAGAATGGAGGAAGCCATAGTATAAGCCCAGTGATGCATGGCAGCTAGAACATCACCTCGGTGCCAGAGAAAGACAGGATGAGAAGGATGGCTCGCATGAGGGGAGGTGACTTCTCAACCTGGGGCCTAGTGGTGCTAGCTCTGATGTGTTCACAAGAAGCCAAAAATACAAACTTGCAGTGGCAAATTAAATTTGAAATGATAGCAGCTAATTACTTAATGAAATATGACAGGTTTTTTTCCTCATGGTGTGCCAGAAGCCATGGTGGAACTGCAGGGGGATAGAACCTGTTTGCCTCCCTAAGTTGAAATGTGAAAGAAGCAAATTTAGGCTGTCATAAAATTATGAGGTATCTCTGGATATGGTAGCACATGCCTGTAATTCCCAGCAATTTGGGATTCTGAGACAGGAGGATCAAAAGCTCAAGGTTAGACCTGACAACTTAATGAAACCTCAACTCAAAATAAAGGAGGGAGGGCTGGGATTTAGCTCAGTGGTGTGAGTGCCTGCCTGGCAAGCACAAGGTCAAGAGTTCAATCCCCAGTACTGAAAAAAAAAAAAAAAACTTAATAAAGGATAGAATGTAGTTTGGAAATAGAGCACCCCTGGTTTAGTCTCCAGGATCCCCCTCCACCGCGCGCGCACACACACAAATTATTGTGGGGTGTCTGGCCACCAAGAGACCTTTAATAAGACTCAGAAGCTGAGTTCAGGGTGGCTTCTTGCATCATTTACTCCTGATGTTTTTGAAACACTGCTCAGGCAAAGGAGCTGTAGTATAATACTAGTGGTTTATCAGAACATTCTCCTTGTGCCTTTCAGAAACCTGGGCAATCATGGTAGCTCAAAGGAGAACCACCCCAGAAAGTGTACTGACGTTTCAGGATTAGATATGATTATGTAGAACTTCAAAACTTCCTGGGATTATTCCAGAAGATTGTTGAGAGTTTCATACCCTTTTTGCCTTAATCCTTACTAAAAATTTTTCAGCTGTCAATATAGTTTTGCCCTTTGACCCTGAAGATAAATGCTCTTCCAAAGACTCAAAGTTTTCCAGGGAAGAAACCATGTTTTAAGATACTTTTAAATATTGTAATTAGTACCTGGTAAGTATGATTCTCCACAAGTATAACTGCTGTGTTGAATACTGTGATTGAATCAGTTAAGATCCCTGGAAGCATCTGTCTTTGGAAAACAATATAGATGCAAAAGATAAAAGCAACAAGTGACATTTTCCAGGGTAAAACCTGGAAGTTCCTGCATTTGAATAAATCCCCTGTCCACCCACTGTTTTCTTTCATTAGCTGTGGTTTTCCTAAAATAAAATGCAGAAAAAATTCCAACGGTTAGAAGGTTCTACTAAGTCGAGTCCTGTTTACCAACCTTCTTATAACTGTAACTCATACTGGAAGGTCTTCTTACTATTCAAACAATGCCCAAAACAAGAGAGTAGGACTTAAATTATAGTTTGGATCCTGTTTCATTTAGGTTGCTCTTGAGATCCCAAATCCTTATTTAGTTCACCTTGGAGTTCGGCCAGCCTAAGCCCCATCTAATATCAAGGTGACCTCACACTAGTTTTCTAGTTTTAAGAGCTTTGAAGGCTACGGTTTAAGTCCTGTTCAGTCTTCCCTACAGTGGGATCCTCTGTCCTGCTGCCACCTCCACAGCTGTGGCACGCACACACAGGCACAGACACAGGGCACAAGCATGTCAATCTGCTCCACCTTCCAGGCACCACTTAGGAGGTCAGCCGTGACAAACAGTTCACTGGTTCCCAGCTACATAGGCACCAGACCACTAGGGCTTCAGGGCCCTGAGGAGCTCCGTGGCCTTCCCTATACCATGTGAGCTCTCAGAGCGCCTTCTCTTTCTGTAAAATGGGAACACTGAGGGAAACAACTCCTTGGGGAACTTGGGAACAGAAAACTTAAAATGAGGGTGCACACTCAGAGTGCTCTAGAACACAGCAACCAGGAGCTGCTGTTACCATCTCTGTCCACAGCAACCAGGAGCTGCTGTTACCATCTCTGTCCACAGCATCCCTCTGAACAGTTCCACTCCTAAGGGGCCACACTACAGAATTTCCTCTGACCACAACTTTCTCTTTGACGGGATTCCCCTGGACTCCTGATCCCTCTATGTTTCCCTCAGATGATCCTTCATGCCCATTTAAAACAAGTGACATTTTCTACTCAGTATCTGACATCCCTCCACAGGTCAGGTGGAAGCCTGTTACCTCGAGAAGAGCAGAGAAAGTGAGACTGATGTGGAATGGGGGAAATAAAATCACTCACAGTGTTGTCTAAGTACGGAGGATCTTGCTGGGTTTATGTCCAAGTGTCCTGAATTTGTAAATCCGTTTTCACAGCCCTGGACCCCATTCACATACTGGCTTCCACCCTGGAGGGAAGTACAGCTGGATCTCAACCTGGAATGTGCATCAGAGTCCCCTGAGGCCTAAACTACATGTAAAACACAAGGGGACTCAGATGTAGGGTGAGACCTCAACATAAATTTTACAGTACTGTAAACTATAGCCCAAAGGCCAACTCTGCCCCACTGCCTGTTTTTGTAAATAAAACTGTATTAGAACACAGCTGGATATGGTGGAACACATCTGGAATCCCAGCACTGTAGGACACTGAAGCAGGAGGATCGAAAGTTCAAGCCCAGCTTGGGCATCTTGGTGAGCCTCTGTCTTGAAAGAGAATATTTTTTAAAAGACTTGGGAACGTAGGTTGGTGCAAAAGTCTTGGTTCAATCCCCAGTACTGAAAAATGCAAAACAAAATCCAGCCCAGTCTGGTCTGCGAAGTCTAAAATATTTTCCCACAAAGTACCAGTACAATTTACCACTACCTGACCCTCCAGTCCCCACTAACCAAGAATCTACTTTCAACAGCTGTACGGTGGGAGTTGCCTGACTGGCAGAACCAACGGACTGTGTTAGAACCCAGGACAAGGTTACATCTGGGCGTGAGCGTTCCCGTACATTCAGTGCACTTCCTGTATGCTACACCTCAGCTCTAAGTTCCTGTTTGAATACACTGACCAAAGATAGATCTTGGCAAGTCATTCAAATATTGCTAGATGTGGTACAAGCCAGCCACCATAATCCTCAGCATTTACTCAAATGAAATGTATGGCTGCTCAGAAGTGAACATGTACGTGTCTATAGCAGCTTGATTCGTAACTGTTAAAACTGAGAAGCAACTAAGATGTTTATGAGGACAATGGACAGACTGTGGTACATCCAATGAGAAATGAGCTATGGCACCACAAAAAGACCCGGTGGAACCTTAAACATGCACTGCAAAGTGGAAGAAGGCAGGCAGCAAAGAATGCATGTGGAGTAATCCCAGCTCTACAACGGTTTGGAAAAGCTGAAGCTGTGGTGCTAGTGAAAGACAGCAGCCCCAGGAGTTCTAAGGGTGCGGTTAGGGGGAAATGGGCAAACAGATGTGTAGGGCAGTGACACTGCACTGTCAAAAGGGGCCTGTAAAGGAACCTGGACTTCAGTTACTAATAACACACTGGCTCATCAACTGTAACCAATGTACAAAGACTTTACTAATAGAGGAAATGGGTAGGGAAAGCTTGCAAGAACTGTATTTCTGCTCAGTTTTTCTATAAACCTAAAACTGTTACAAAATAGAGGCAAAGGTGGATGGACAGAGGAGGGTCTGTCTAGACAGAGGGCGACGAGTATACTGGGTATGGAAAATGACAGCATTACTCAAATGTACTGAAAATGTATGTCTGAACAGCAAAAGCAACGTGAGAATGTTCACAGCAAGGCATGTACAGCCCCATCTCCCAGCTGTGCCAGCAAGTTTGATTTGGGGGAAGATTGGTTCATCTTTTTTTTTTTTTTTTTTTTTTTTTTTGTCTTTTTTGTTTTTTTATCGGTACCAGGGATCGAACTCACGACCACACACTTGCAAGGAAGGCGCTTATGCCACTGAGCTAAATCCCCAGCCCCAGATTGATTCATCTTATGTTCAGCAGAAATCTAATAGTTTCTTTTAAAATTGCCCTTTGATTAATTACCTTGAAATAGCCACTCTGGAGTTTCAAAGACTATCTCCAGCATGAGTTTCTCACCAAATTGTCATCATGCTCACTTCAGCAGCACAGATACTAAATCACCTGTCACCGCTGCGACACCTGGGCATGTGTTCTGTGCTCAGTGTTCCACAAGTCTGAGGAAGGCATCCTCGTGGCTTTACTTAAGAAGATGCTAGAATCTGTTTCAGAATAATTGGGGAAGCCAGGTGCAATGGTGCATTTCTGTAAAGACAGCACTCTGGGAGGCTGAGGCCAAAGGATCAAAGTTTAAGCTTAGTTTGGGCAATTAGTGACTCAGTGAGAACCTGTCTCAAAACTTTAAAAGGCTTGGATTGTACCTCGGTGTGAAGGTCCTAGGTTTAACCCCTGGTACTAAAAAAAGAGAGAAAAGAAAAGGAAGGAAGGAGGGAGTGGGGAGCAGGTGGGGTGAGAACGGACCAGGTGGGCCATGCACTGATAATGACAGAAGCTGGTAACAGGAACATCAGGTTCACTGCTCTCTGTAGTTTTATGTACACTTGAATTAAAAGGTAAGAAACACACAGCCTCCATTTTGCACTGAGGTGAATCAAGCCCACGGTTGGTATTCTGGTGTCTCTGTGGACCACCTGTGGTTAAAAAATTTAGATCTAAAAATCCCCAGTTGAGTAATTGGTCATCATAGCTGGATGCTGGAGAAACTTTCAGAACACAGGTCTTTTCTTCTGGGCGTACTGATTCCTCTACAAAAAGAAAAGAAAAAGGCCCTGTTGGAGGTACAATGCCCAACCTCCCCATCTATGTAGTGCAGTACAGTTGAAGCCAGAGAGTTCAGACCCACATTTATGCTCCATCCTTGCTGGGTTTACAGCCCCAGACAGGGTAGAAGCTGCTTTACGCCTCGGGTTAGCCACCTGCAAAGTGGAAGAGTAACATTTCCCCCAGAAGTCTAGGTCTCCTGGGGGGTAAGACACCCCCAATGCCAGAGGGAGTCTTCAAGTGACTGTGGCTAATGTCACTCTACTTATTTTGTGACTCATTCATTCATAGTAAAGATTCTTGAGAACAGAACTGGGGTGGGGGATAATACGATGCTGTTTTTGGCATCCTTTGTTAGATTGATGTTTTTCCCCCTCTGTTAAAAATGAAGCGGATGTTGCTATTTATTTCTTCAGCTCAGACGCCCACTTACACTCCAGTGTTTGCTAACAGTGGTGTGCAACCATGAAGATTCTGGAGGAGGGGGAACCCTCAGTGTTGGGGAGAACAGCTAACAGGACAGTTCTCAGAGAAAAACTTATCACTTCATATGCTAGCTGACTCTCAACCCTGGAAACTCGCTAGAAACACAGGGTCTGCAGCTCCACTCAGGAGCTCTGGGCCTCGGTCTGCTTGTTAACAAGCTCGAGTTTATATGCATATGTCAATCCAGCTTCCAACCCATTTGCAAGGTCAGCCAGCGCGAGTAACAAAGTGGGTGAAGACTGCAGGAAGGCAACCCTCAAACAGCAGAGGTCTCTGCGAAACCTCCTGAAGTCAGGGTCTGCCACGCTGCAGAGGATGAGCCACCTGGCTGAATTTGATTCTCCTTCTGGAAGGGTTCAGGTGTGATTTGGGGGGCTCCATTGTCCTCTTGAGTGCAGTTTCTTGCCTCCAATGACGGCAAGTCCTGCCCTACTGCGAAGCACGGAAAGTGGCTTCTGGGGCTGCCAGATGTTTAAGATGCTGATTGCTTAGAGCTCTTAGTTTCCACGCAAAGCTCAGCACAGCAGAGGTTTGTGTGTGGAAGTGAATAAAAAAAACACACTTCCCTCTGACCACCACAGTTTTCCCCTGTTGTTTCTGTTCTTTATTTCTTTTTAAAGAGACATCCCAACTTTGAAGGTAGGTATGCACAGCATCAGGATGGAGGTGGGAGCCACGAGAACAAGTTAGCAGACCCAATGTTCAGCTGAATGCAGATGCTCACCTGCAGCTGCTGTAACAAAGTGTTACAGACTATGTGAGCTAGCACAATGGAACTCACTCTCACAGTTCTGGAGGCCAAGTCCAAAATCAAGGTATCAACAAGACTGGTTCCTCCTAGAGTGTGAAGAAGAATTCACCCCTGCCTATCTCCTAGCTTCTGAACCCTACCATGCTCCACTCTTCGGCCTGTATGTCCCCTGAGGACCATCCACTGTGGCTGCATGAGCTTGAACAATGATTTGCTATGGGCTAGCAGCTGTTCTGTGTAGGGAAGCATCTCAAGGTCCAAGGGTCAGCACCAAGCATCACTGCTGCCCATGGTACCACAAGATCATCAGGGTAACCATGGGCCGGAGAGCTAACACCCCACGGGAATGCACACTGCAGTTCTCAACTCCTCTCTGTTCAAAACAGCCAGGGTTTCTTAGAGAAATGTAAGAGTACAGACTCTCACCTTGGAGTATCTTGAAAGCATAAAATCTGTCACAGACTGTAAGCCAACAGAGGCCAACAGGAAGACGCTCCCACTGGCCAAAACTGGGACAATCTGCACAGCAGAACTCTTCTGTCAGTTTGTATGATATTTAAAAACTATCATTGATACCTAATGAAGATAAAAGGAAGTGATCCATTAACTTGAAAGCTTATAAGCAAAGTATGAGAAGCCAGCATGTAGATGCCTTTTCTCTATAAAACATATCTAATAAAGACTGAACGATGAGGGCAGTTTCTCTTTTTAGATTACCTCAGCTCACAAATGAAGATGGAATGATACAGCTGGAATGTCACACTGCTAGGTGTGATGGTGCATTTCTGTATTCCATGCCACTTAAGAGGCTGAGGCAGAAAGAACACAAGTTCAGCCTGGGCAAGTTAGTGAAACTGTGTTTCAAAAAAAATGTTTTTAAGGGCTGGGGATATAGTTCTGTAGTAGTGCTTACCTAGCACCTAGCATGCAAAGTCCTGGGTTTAATCTTCAATACTAAAACAGTTTTTTTTTTTTAATTAAAATATGATGTCATAGTCTCTAATGAATTCAAACATGGGGGTGTGGAGCACCAATGGCCAGGCACCCAGGTGTTAGGGGCTTCCAGGTGAATGAACACCCCTCTTTTTTTTTTAATTTTATTTAAGGAGGAAAAGAAAAAAAAGAGAAAGGGTACAAGTTATACAGAATTTCAGAAAAAAAATAAACAGTAGGAAATCACTAGTTAATGGATTACATATTGTCATCTTAGAAATATTTGTTCAAGTTACAAAATTAAAGCTTATATAGTGGACATTCAAACAGTGAGACCAAACAGTTCTGTTCAATGATCCAACAAAGCTCAGTAATATCATTGTCTATCTTATACACTTAAATATACATGCAGTTATATCATTTAAAGCACTTTTCCTCTCTTTTGTACAATGACTGTTACACATTTTGGAACACCCCTCTTTTGAAGTCATTGAGTCAAAACATCACATCCAGATCACATCAAGCCTCTAGTTCTAGCCACTCATTACAATGAATACGGGAGATGTATTAGTTCACTTTCTGTTGCTGTAACAAAATACCTGAGGCTAGGTAATTCATAAAGAACAGGTTTATTTAGGTTACAGTTTGGGTGCTAGCACGTCTCTAGTGAGGCCCCTTTAGCTGCATCACAACATGACAAGTGGCATCAAGCCAGGAACACGTATCAGAGGGAAAGGTTACATGTCAAGACAGGAAGGCAGAGAGAGGGAGGGGCTGGTCTTGCTCTTGTATACAAACTTACTCTTGTGGGAAGTGACTGGGATCCAATGAGAACTACATTATTCCTTCCAAGGTAGGTGCCTCGCCACCTTCATGAGGTCTATCTCTTAGAGATTCTACTGCTGCTTAACACTGTATGCTGATGACCACGATTCCAACAGAGGAACCCTTGGGGACATGCCACATCCCAACCACAGCAGGGATAAAGGAACAAATTAAAGGACACAAAGAGGATGCACTCATCAGTTCCAGACCATGACAAGGTCTACAACAAGGCAAATCCATTGCTAAACAGAGAAATGCGCTACAGATTCAGCTAGAGTGAGCAAGCAGGGCCGAGGGGGTGGCCACAGAATAAAAGAAATCTTACGCAGCGAGTGACTGCAATGTGTGAATGCTCTTTCAATTATAGTTCAAACAAGATGATTTTTAATAAGTAAAAAAAAAGACATTGGACACTGAGTATTTCATGATTTGAGGGATTACTTTAAATTTTTAAAAAATTGTATGTAGTTCTATTTTTTAAATAGTTCCTGTCCTTTAGAGATAACACATCTGAGTATTTATGCCCACAGTTATGTGACATATGTGAGGTTTGTTTCAAAACAACCAGGGGCAGGGGGAGGAGGTGGGGCAGAAATGGAAGACTGGTCAGAGTTGACCATTGTTGAGGGTTTTAAGATTATCATATTCTTCTATTTGGTATATATTTGGACCTCTCTGTCACTAACTTTTGTTTTGATTGTTAGGCAGCCAAGTAGGCAGATTCTTGCCTTTCAAAGCCCCATTCTGCCAGTTGCTGTGTGACCTCAGACAAGTGATTCAACCTTTCAGAGCCAGTTTCCTAACCTGCAAAATGGGGGTAGTCACATCCGCCTCAAAGCCTGGTGCACAAGGGGCACCCTGTAAACACCCAGGCACTTTTTCCTTCCATGGGTTGTGATGATCAGCTTTGACATGGCCCCTTTTGACCCTGGCCTCCTATCTTCATACCGTATAGTCATGTCCCACAGGGAGCCAGGGCTTGTCACTGATGTGGCAAACAGACTATCAGAAGTGACTGCATCAAAGACATGGTTGTTTTCATCTTGGTCATGCTCTGTTGTGCTCTCCCTTGCGTGCACTGGAGCAGGCGAGCTGCTGCATTGGAAGCAGCCGTATGGAGAGGCCTACCTAGCAAGGAACTGAACCGCCAGTCAATGGCTGCATGAGGGACCTCATGGAAAAGCTCTCTTGCTCCTTGTGGGTCCATTAGATGACAGAAGCCCACCAACCCCAATTTCGGTTCCCAGGACAGAGCCACCATATGACTGCCCTCCTAGATTCTCTGAGTAGCAGAGAGAATTAAAGACTAAAACCTGGGGCCTGAGATTGCCAGTAAGAGGTGATGGAGGTAAAAGATGCCCTTTATGGCCCACCTTTGGTAGTGACAACACCTGAAAAGAATAAATACACTTTCAGGATATAATGTCATTTCTTCAGGATCTCTGCTAAGAATATCACCTGGATCTAACCACGAGAAACATCAGGAAGACCCAAGTCAAGGCATGTTCTTCAAAACAGCTAGTATTTACTGTTCAAAATGTCCATGTCACAAAAGATAAAAGAAAGGCCACAAACCCCTCCGGAATAACTAAATGCAACAGGTAAGAGCCTGGATGGAATCTGAGCCTGGGAGGAAAAAAGTACAATAAAGGGCATTGAGATACAAAACATACATTAAATACTATCTTCATTTCAATCCTTGTGCTCTGCTTACAGAATTTCCTGTTCCCAATGCACACATTTGAGTCGGGCGTGGTGATGCACATCTATAATTCAGCACTGTGGGAGTCTGAAGCAGGAGGATCACAAATTCAAGCCCAGCCTAGGCAATATAATGGCTCAGTGAGACCCTGTCTCATATTAAAAGGGGCGTGGCAAGGGAGGTCGCTTAGTGCAAAGGCCCTGTATTCAATCCTCAGTGCTGAAAAACAAACAATAAAAGAAACACATCTCATTTAAGAACTTAGGGCTTCGAGAATGGGATTTATTAAAACACACACAGAACAAAATTAACAGCACATGGATATATGTCATGGTATGAATATATATCAATTCTTTGTTCTATTCTTACTACCTTCACAAAAGTTTGATGTGATTGCAAAGTAAAATTTTTTTTAAAATCTTTCAAGGACATTAATTTAAAATATTCTTTTCTGACTGCACCTATCTTGACACTGGATTTCACAGTTCTTTTGTTTGGGGTTTTAATAACCACTAAAACTCTCCATTTTGATGAAAATAGTACATTTCGTACTTTTTTGTCCAGGTGTATTTTTGTTTGCAGGTTAATTTGTCATTCAAAATAGTCACTGATGCTAATTTGATATTGTCATTTAAATTGCCCAAGGATCAAAATTAAGCTTATAATCAACACACAAATGTTCTCAATTGATCTTCAACATTTTTAAGAAATACTAAGTTTAATAAATTGAGCCTTAGGCAACAACAGATTTATTGAACACTAATTGTTCACCAGGTACACTGGGATAGATCAGAATATAATGAACAAAGTGGACCATGTCCTGCCCACCTGCATTTGACTGTTCTCTAGCAGGCAGGCAAAGAAATCAAAGAATAATCTCAGCACAGTGTGAACGGGGTAAATAGAATCACACACAAAATGCTCGACAAGTGATATGTTATGACCACTATTAGATGGGCATGAGGCAAAGTCTCACCAGCTGGGCCTGCTGCCCAGCCCTCTAGCTGTAAATAGGGTTTATTCCAGGCAGGTATCCCTTAGGCTCTTGGCTATCTGCTGACATTTTAATAAATGCAGAGACCCAGAAGGTGGATATAACACTGGGTGAGTTGAGGTAGACATAGGACCATGAGAAACTTGGACTCCAACCCAAGTTTACTGAGTTGGTCTTGGGGGGGGTGTGTGTGTGTGTGTGTTTTGAAATAGGGACTTATTATATATTCTAGGCTGGCCTGGAAGTCACTAGGTAGCCCCATCTGGCCTTCAACTCACAACACTCATCCCAAATCAACCTCCCAGAGTGCTGGGATTATAGGCATGAGTCACTTACACCTGGCTCTTTGCTAGGGAACAGTCACCAGCACTCTTTGCTGGGACATATGGCTAAATTTATAAATGTGTCAGCACTTACCTCCTCTCCAAGGAAGGTGTACACACACACACACACAAGCATGCATGCACAGACAGCCTCAACCAGTACAAGTAAATAGGAGCTGGCAATGGCTTAGCAATATCTGGAGACATTTTTGGTGTCACAACTGTGAGCATTCATTGACATCTACTTGGGCAAGCCTAAGGATGCTGTGGAATAGCCTGTAATGCACAGGACAGTGCCCCTTACCAAAGGATGGAGTAAATGAAGGAGTCCACACAATTAAGATGCCATCTGAAATGAAGCATCAAGAAATGTGATCATTGTCCCCTTCTTGTCCCCAAATGCTTTCCTGGCTATGTAGGTCACAGTTCAGTAGAAATGGTCCTTCAGTGATTCTGTTGTACAATAGTTTATGCAATCAAATTCATGGGAACAAGAAATATAGATAAGAGGAAGTTAAGCTGTTATAGATGTAATGAGTTAATTTCAAAATATGTAATGTGCCTCGATCAAAGAGAACTGAAAATCATCTAGTTCCCTGATTCTGTGGTGATTTTCCTTGGTAATCATGGACCTTCCTTAAAATTAAATAATCAGCTTCTTGGTGGGACCTGATTGTGATCATGTTTCTGTATTTTTAAAATAGATTTTGGGGAGGCAGGGAACAAAGGAATTTATTCCCCAAAGGCCCAGGGGACAGGGTCTTGGTAATGGGTTCTTACTAAGTGACTGCTTCTGGGCAGACAAAGAAAAACCAAAATTATTATTTCCCTTAGCATGTTGGGGCATACAGTTGATTTTTCAAGAGTGGTCAACCACCAAGCTGTCATCTGCCCCCTCTTTTCTTTCCCCATCTCTTCACACACTAATCTCCCCGGGCACATGTCACACAAAGATATTGGGAACACTTGAAAGTTCCCTCAAATATAAATCTAATTTATCCAAATCAAAACTCAAGTCCCACAGAAAAATCCAAACCAAGGTTCTCAGCCAGGGGTAATTTTACATCTAGGGGACATGAACCATGACTGGAGGTAATTTTGGCTATCATTAATGGGGGGCCAGATGTTCCAGGCATCTAAGGGATGGGAGCCCGGGAGGTTGTTAAAAATCCTGTAGTGCATAAGTCAGATACACAATGAAGAATTATTTGACCCCAAATGTCCATAGTATTCAGGTTGAGAAATTGCTCAAAATAGATGAGGCAATTCTGCATCCTCATTTATACAAGGAAAATAAAAACCCTCCCCAGAGAAAGAAACCCCAAATCTGCTATTTTCCAGCAGAGTATGTCCCTGAGTATCTTGCCCTCTGTGACTCTCCAACCCTGTAAGTACAATGTTATAGAGAATGTCAGCTCATGAGCTAGATCCTTATCATTCAAACTGTTTCCTTGAACTTCACAGCTGAGTGACACTGGGTGAGTAACTCATCTCTCTCTTTGCCTCAGTTGCTTTACCCTTGACATTGATAAAAATAGTAATATCTATCTCATAGGTTGGTCCTACAGATAAAAAAGAAGTATCCCAAGTAAAACGCTTAGGATAGAATAGTGCCAATGTACAATAAATGTTCATTCTTTATAACCTTCCCTCAAAAGTAGCCAACAGTTCCATCAGAAGTTCAATTTTGAGAATTTTTGTTTTTGTAGTCCATGTGGACAAATAAATCAACTGTGGAGGACTTTTTAAAAGACAAAAAAATTACAGGATGAGCTGGTTAGGGATTTGTGGTACGCTGATATGCTGTTGTTATTCCATGTGATGTTTGTCATTGGACCCGAATCCCACTAACACATGACTTTCTCTGGTGTCTGAAACCAGGACCAGATTCCTCTCAATTTCACATTCAGCAAATATAATGAGAACCAACCATCACACACAGACACAACCTTGCAAACAAACCCGCTACGACCACTGAGACCAAAATCGTTTCTGAAAAGTAAATCTGTCTGAGGCAGGAAGAGACTGTCTTATTGTGAGTGACAATCTTTTAGAACCCAAGCCTGTTAGGTACAGAGGGATTTTGTGCAGAGTCTTGAAAACATAAGCCTAACTTTTGTTGGAGGGACAATCTCCAACTCTAGGGAGAAGCCCAATATGACATCTTGTTCCAACCAAGGACTCCATCCCCGCCCTGCACAGAGATTTAGCACAGAAGTCATGCTTGTGGGAAAAATAACTAAGTAGCATGGATAAAGCAATCCTCACTATACATATTCATCATTCATCTAGATTCTGTCTTGGTTACTTTTC